ATGAGTGTTGGTAGGGGAGAGGGGGCGGTTGGGGGTAGTGGGTTGTGGTTGTTGGAGGTGGGTGGGCGTGAGGTAGAAGTGAGGGAGGGGAATGAAATGGATAGAAGAAAGATGGAGGGGTGGGGATGGTTGGTGGTGTAGGGTTGGGTAGGGATGGGGGTATGGGGGTGTTAAGTGGAGAGAGGGAGTGGGTGAGGTGGGATGATGTTCGGGGTAATAGGGTGGAAAGAGGAGAGGGACGAAGAGGTGGGTTTGAGTTGTGGAGATGTGGGAGGGGGTAGGGGATGGATGTATGGGGGAGGGGGGGGGTAGTGGAGGAGGAGGAGAGAGATTAAAAATGAGTTGGGGAGATGGGTTGAAACCAGGCAGGGAACAGGGTACTTGCATATAAATGAACATACTTAAGGTATGTTGACTCACGACCGAATTAAAATCCGCTCGTAAAATACTTGCATGCGATGACATGGAGAGTCTCAGGACTCCTCGAAAAAAATCTGTTTGAGACTAAAGTTTTGAAAATCACCTTTTATATCTATTTTAATGAACTCTTCAAGACAACAGCACTATGATATTACAAAACTAGGGAAATTATAGAAATTATCATGCAGGACGACTTCTGAGGTTCAGAAAACTTTTGAGACGTACTCAAGTTGCATTCCTCCCTTCGCCCACCTTTCTCCACTTTAAGTAAAAAAAAAAAAGTTTTACAGTAGCAAAGAACCCAAAAGAGAAAAAGCATGACTAGAAATGTCTATAATTGGGTAGGGTTCTGTAGTTGCAGCACTAGTTTGACTGTTATGGCCAACCTGGCTCTGAGGCTCTTATATATCTTTACTTTATGAGAATGGTTCATTGATTGACTGATTGATTATGAAGGTTTTACACCCCTTTCGAAATCATTTATGTTATTTCGGGGGCCATCTGCATTGCCCCAGCCTGCCATGGTCAACCTGGGTTGAGTGGGAGGGATGTTACTGGGTATAAGAGGCCTTTTTTAAGCTCTAAACAAGCTGCATCTTCAAATCAATTCTCTTCTTCCCTCTCCCCTGGTGTCCTAAGTAGCGGTTACGTGTTCCATTCCCGTATGGGGAGGCTTTTTATTGACCATCTCCTTCTGTCTATTAGGACGTTATATCTCCTCAACCAAAATTGGTTCTAACAGGCAGGGTCAAAACAGCCCGCCTCCTAAATGATCTCAACTGTGTCGATGGGAACGTAAAATATCGACAATCGTAACTTTTCTTTCTAACGCCTATACACAGTTTAGTATGAACACTCTTCCAGACCATATTGCAGTCAACAAGAGATTTACCAACAGACTTTGCATTAGGTAAACAAAAAACCCCAAACAACCCAAAACAACCCCGCCCCCCAAAAAAAAACAAAAAAACAAAAACAAAACAAAAAACAAACGAACAACAACCCACGTCTTTCCCCTTAAAAGAAAAGCCAACAAAAACCCTCACGCACATATTCAGTTCGCTGCTAACAGTAGCAATGTACTTTGGAATAAGTACCCAAAAAAAAGAGACAGAAAGAAAGAGAAAACAAAGAGTAGTAATGAGATGGGGACAAAACGTGAAAGGGAATGCTCGTACTCTATGAGGGAATGGCGTCGGCGTTTTGTCCATCCAATCAGGTCGACCATAGTGCATTGAGGACTTGTAGGTCACTGTCTTGGCGTGTGGAGCTGTGGGAACACGATACAAGAAATGACAAACACTTATAAACTATTTTCTAAAAGTGCCTGTCTCACCAACCAATACTACAGGTTAGGTTAAGAAACAACAGTCCCCCCCCTGTCAATTGTAGGTCTAGTTTGTTTTTGTTCTGTTTGTTTCATCCGTCCTCTTGTACGTCAAGGGCGTCGAGGGGAGAAAGAGCTTCCTGACTCTGGCGAGTTTGATGGCCTGGCTGGGTGGGATATTGAATGTTCCTAGCGTATCCTTCACACCCTTGATCCAGGTCTTTCTTTGTCTTCCTCTTGCCTTGTAACGTGATACTTTCCTGTAGTAGGCTTTACTGGCAAGCTGGTTTGGTGCCATACGTGTGAGATGTCCAAACCACCTGATTTTTTGCCTTCGAATGTAATGGAGGACAGGTAATGTTCCCACCATTTCTTTTATCTTATTGTTTCTGACCATGTTCCCTCTGGTTTTGTTGACGACTCTCCTTAGACATCTCATCTAGCAAGTGGTTATCTTACGTTCCAGACCTTTGGTCAGGGTCCATGTCTGGCACTGGTAGGTCAAGGTGGGGATGAAGTTAGAGTAAATGAGTTTGGCTTTGGTCTCAATGAAAATGAGAAGTGGGGCCAGCTGATTTTTAGTCTAGTACTGCATAAGATTATAATACCCTCTAGATATACGACAGAACTCTTTAAAGATTCATATGATGAAGGATCTTGTGAGTACAAAAGAGTAAAAACTTTGTATTCATCAAACGGCTCACCGGATAATTGTCTCAATTTTTAATTCTTGTTTTCAAAACTTTTGTTCCTGAAAAAAAAGGGGGGGGGGGTGGCTCCAGTGTACCGTGTTTGCCTCTAGTTCAATATGTTCCGGGTTCAAAACCTGACACCGACTAAAAATACATCTCTAAAATGTTGTCATCTTCTTCACTGTTCTTCAGACGTGTTCTGTCATCTGCTTTAATTTTTATTTTCTGCTTCCTTCCCCTGGGCTCCTATCTCCTTTACTCTTGGTTCTTTCTACTTCTACTCCAAACTTCTTACTGCTGTCTTTCTGCCACACCCCTGATCTTAGGGAAGGTATGATCTAACTCCCAGCGTTTTTGGACAAAGACGAAAATTCTTTGAGGTCCCAAATGCAAGTTGCACACTCTTGGTGGTCATAGAATCGATAAGCGTATGGTTCGGCAGCAGCTCGGGCAAAATTCAAATTTAATCCTTACCGAAACCTTACCGTTAGTATAAAAACATTTAGGGTACAATGGATATCGGAATGTGGCTGCCTGAAATCAAGTGGCTCAACGAGTAGGGAAACCAGTCTCATACGTAAAAATCAGTTGCACTGTAGGTTGAAGAACCAGCGGTCTTTCTTTAGGCCATTCCCAAAGGGGGATATTAACATGTTCCTATGCACAGAAGAATTGTAAATGGGCTGATTTATCAATGTCATGCTCATACTGTGCCGGAACATCATAGGGGGAACTAATGCTTTTTCTTTCGTCATCCTTACTATCATCATTTTTCATCTACTTCTTGTCACTCTCTTCTGAACTGCTATTTCTGGGGTGCCTTGATAGTCTAAGCAGACTTTTTGACGTTGAAGAGAAAGAGGTGAGCAAAGTAAGCCTGATTCCCGTTTGAACTTCTTTGATGACATCCACCCAGAGCCGTTCATATGACCATATGCAGTTGCGAGCGTCGAAAAACTTGCTGAAACCAAACGCACCAGCAGTCAACGACCGGTGAGATCTAGCCGGGGGAACACAAGGAACAAGAAGTCTCGATGGGGTCTTAAAACATTTACAGTAATAATTTATGAGCATCCAGTCTCTCTTACCATGTGCTCTGTTGATCAAAGACTGCTCCTGCTGCCTAAGTAGGGCCTTCTGCTGATAGTCAAGACGGTTGTTGGTCTCTGGAACGTCAGGGTAGACGGAACGGAACATTTGTCTGGTACGTGCCTCTGGGATACCGGGTGTGGAAGAACGATGGTTCAGTTAGAGCGTGAGAAAAAATATGGGGTGGGGTAGATAGATAGATAGATAGATAGATAGATAGATAGATAGATAGATAGATAGATAG